GTAGCACATGCCTTAGATCCCAGCACTCAGGAGACAGACAGCAGTGGTCACAACCCAAGGCCATTGGAAAGCAATATTTACATTACAATTCATAATAGTAGCAAAATTACAGTTATAAAGTAGCAATGAAAATAATAATCTTATGGTTGGGGACACTACAACATGAGAAACTTCATTAAAGGGTCACAATATTAGGAAGTCTGTGAACCACTGGTTTAAGGACAGCCTGGTCTGCATAGAGAATTCCAGGCCAACCAGGGTCACATTCAGACCCTGTCTCAAAGAAACAAAGAAGAAAGTAATCATTCTTGCTTTTTCTCCCTGGCTGTGCTTGGACTCAGCTCTGGCTGGCTCCCTAGTTGCAGGAGGAAGAAGGAAGGGAAAAGCTGGCAAGAGGACAGAACAGGGAGGAGAACACTTGGACCATACAGTTCAGACAGGGACAGAGCTCGTCTGGGGATAGCCTGCTCTGCCTGCTCTGCACCAAATCTTATATGATTACATCTGATGGAAATGGTTACACTGCATGTGATATTAACCTGTACTGATCCAAAAGACTGAGATGGATGAGTCAGTGCCAACGCCTCGGACCTATACACCATACCACCCCGCCTTGCTCTTCCTCCTCATTTGATACCTCTTTGAGCTTTATGTGGCTAAACCATCAGCTGCCCTCCTGAATGATGAAGTAGCTTAGCTGTGAGCAACACCACCTGAGGCACTTCTCCCTGACCAATGGAAGCAGCCCAAGCAGATGGAAGTAGGGACTTCATCTCGGCAAAGAAAGCTCTCAGGCCACCAGATATAATGCTGACCCCACCACTGCTCCATCCAGAACTGGCCCAGTCTTTCAAGTACTCAGACACATTTTTTACCTGGTTCCCTTTGTTGCTGGCAATGACCATCCTGGTGGCTAAACCTTGCCTCTAGGGCATGAGCAAAGTTTGGGAGAGACTCCCCATCCAGAGCACCACCCAAATCCCCAGTGCTGGAAATACTTCATGACTCAGCTTCCTCTCCATTGGTCCCTGCCCTTTCCTCTATGCCTCTAATGTCAAGCAACTGAATTTTAAAGAACAGATTATCCACCAACTGGCCACCATCATTCTTAGCCTCTCCTGGTTTGTCAATTTTGTCTGAGTAGTGAACAGTTTTCTGATTACCCACTAGTTGGCCATGGCATGAAAAACCACCTACAATAACATCTTCCTCATCTTTGCCATTGTTTTCATCATCACCTGGCTGGTTTCCTTGCCTTGGCTCCTGCACCACACCCTGGCATAACCTCTGGATCTGGATCATCTGGATCTGGATCTGGATCTGGATCTCTCTCTCTCTCTCTCTCTCTCTCTCTCTCTCTCTCTCTCCTTTTTTGCTACTACTACTTCAACATCACAATGGGATTGACAGATGCTGTGAATCTTCTGGGCCTACCCCATTCTACACATGGTGAACAAATCCCTAACTATAAAACTAGTAGAAGATGAACACACTTCCAGAGAAGAAATGAAAAGCTCAGAGAAGGAGAGGCTGCAGCTGAGAGAGAAGCAAAGAGCAGAACCCTACCAATGGCCACCCATCCTCAATAAAAATCATAAGAGTGGTTAGAGAGGTGGCTCAGCAATTAAGAATAGGTAATGCAGGTCTGGAGAAATGGCTCCATGCCTAAGAGCACTTACTGCTCACACAGAGGGCCCCATTCAGTTTCCAACACCCCCATCAGCTGGCTCCTAACTGCCTGTAACATCAGTTCCAGAGGATGCAACAACACCCAAGGGTATCTGCATGCACACCCTGCATATAGATTCACAGAAGTACATGCACATATACACCAATAAAAATAATAAATAAGTTTTTAAAAGAGTGCATATTGTTCTTCCAGAGGACTTGAGTTCAACTGCCATAACCCACACCAGTAGCTCACGATCCCCTGTAACTCCAGCTCTAAGGATTCAACACCCTCTTCTGGGCCCCTGAGGGCACTTGTATGTGTGTGTATGTGCACACATACAAATTCAAAACAATTTTAAATTCTTTAAATCATAAGAATAATAAGAATGACTAAACCACATTAATATAGAGTGAAAATGCTAATCAGCCTTCCCTGTGGGGTCCACCAGGCTCTGGAGAGAAAAGAGAAAGGGAGAGACACTCTGTCCTCTCTCCTTACTTCATCACCCAGTGCCTTTAGGGCAGACTTTAAGCAGCATATGAAGATGCAGCAGAGAAGAGGCTGGTTAAGCCCTCTGCTAGAGCAAAGATCTCCATCCCTCCACACTCTCTAAGCTCCATTTCTATTGCTGTCAAACCCTTTCTCACCTCTGAGGGCCTAAGAACTTGGACCTAGTTTTCTGCCCTGACTCCCACCCCCACCCCTTGACCTCTAGCCAGGGTTGATCTTGGGCCTCATTCTGCCAAAGGTTCCACCTTTGAAGCCCCTGGCTTGGGTTACAACCAAAGCTGAGCTGAGCTGACTTTAGCATCTCCCCTTCTGGCTCCTGCACCACACCCTGGCATAACCTCTGGATCTGGATCATCTGGACAAAGGTTCCACCTTTGAAGCCCCTGGCTTGGGTTACAACCAAAGCTGAGCTGAGCTGACTTTAGCATCTCTCTTCCTTCCTGAGGCTCAGAGAGTGAGTGTGTGCCCTCTCCCACAGAAAGGGCACTTCCTGGAGACTGCTCAGCTATCTCTAGCGCTGCAGCCGCTTTCTCTGGCCTCCTCTTTCCTGTCAGCTACTCCAGTTGCTTTACAGTAGAACGCAACTACTTCTAATTTGTACTCATTAAATACTTAAGTTTCAGTCTCCAAAATACAACTGTAGCTAGTACCTGATACTTCGGTGAGGAACCATTTCAGAGAAAATTTTACTATTAATGGTTTTGGGTGTTTTGTTTTAGGGGTTTTTTTTTTTTTTAAGCTAAAATATAATAATAAAGGTTAAAACATGACAATGTGTCAGATAACTAAAAACTGAAAATTTTTTTTTTTTTTAAGCTAAAATATAATAAAGGTTAAAACATGACAATGTGTCAGATAACTAAAAACTGAAAAGGGGCCAGGTAAGGTGGCACACACCTTTGAGTCCAGCACTCAGGAAGCAGAGGCAAAGGCAAGTAGATCTTTGTGACTTCCAGGCTAACAGAGAGCTCTATGGTGAAATTCTGTCTCAAAGATCAAGATCGAAAGAGCAATACAGAATCAACTAAATAAACTAAGAAACTGAGGCAATCTTTCATTATTGCCCCCACCCCCGTAATCCTTTACTAGAAAGAACTGGAGAAAATGTGTAATTTTTCATCTTTATTGCTCTTGTATACAGAAAGTCAATTAATTAAATATATAATTAAAACTGTAAATACAGTTTAGCTTCTGTGTTTTACTTTAATTTAGCTTTTGCACCTGACTTAGCAGACAAGTACCTCTAGTTTCTAGTGAACCTGAAAAGGTTCAACAGTTTTTACTACACACCCTATCAGAGAAGTAGCAGCCACCCTTTCCAGCACTTAGTAAGCTGGCCTTAGGCAAAATATGTCCAAAGGTTTGGCTCAACAGACCAAAAAAAGGTGTGCCGGCCCACAGACTACAGGGTGGGGAGAACTACGGTCAGTTTCAACTTATACTTCCTTTTCCAGTGGCCTAGAAAGGTAGGAGCAGTGCAGTGCTCTAAGTTAGTTCTGGGTATAAGTTACCACAACATAAACTGCAAGTTTCCCACCAACTATAACAATTATATTTTTGACTATAAATAGACAGGGATAAAACTGAGCCAAAAGAAACTTTAGATGGATTACATAAAGACCACTGACAGGTGAAATTTATTCTAGAACCGGTTTGGTCTTGTTTATCAATCTCTAAAGAAAGATTCGCTTTACTGCCACTATTAGAAATGCCAACAACTAAGCACAATTACCCATGGCCAGACAGACTAGTTAGTTCACATGGGTAGCAGGTGGAGACTGATGTGACTGTAAAGGATTCTGAAAGTTGCATGCTCCAACTCTTTAACTTTACACACTAAGCCCTTCAGTTAGTTAAAGAGTCTTTATGAGACTGACAAAGACGGTTCTGTGCTTACCAACACAACTAGTCCACCAGGGAGGAAGCAGCTACTCTCACCTACCACTGTCAGGACTGTGGCTCTCTGCCTCCCAGTCCCTGGCAGCTTCTCACAGGCCACCACTAACACAAAGTATTTTCTCTGCTTATTTTAGTATTGTCCTGATGCTTCCATATGAGCAGGTACTTGTTACAAGTCTCCCTTTACCTACAGTTTCCCCTTCAAGTTTCAGTCATTCATAATTCTGTGAAATAAAAAATATTAAGCAAAAATGTCCAGAATTAAAAACTAATAAGCTAGCCCAGGCAGTGGTGGTATACCCCTTTAATCCCTGGTGGGGGATGTTCTTCTGTATATATGTTTTTCTTATTGGTTGATGAATGAAACCCTGATTGGCCAGTAAAGGTAGGAAGATAAGCAGGGAATGCTGGGACAGAGAGGACAGAAACATCATGAGTTTTGGCAAGACCCTGTCTCAAAAGCCACAACACTAAAGTAAAAGAAAAACTATTGTTCTTCCATTCCAAAGAAAGAACAACGAAAGAAGGGTGAGACCCATCCCTTGCCCGTGCCTCACCCTCACCTCACAACTCCCAAGACTGTAACACACACCTCTCAGTAGCACACGTTTCCCAATAATTTTCCTAAGAACTGCTAGTTTATCCTGACTCAATTCTGAAACCACTGGAACCCTCCTCCTTTCACTTCAACACCAGGGTATCAGGAGCCAGGCTTAGGAGCTAACAAAGCACCTAGACGTAATCTTCCTTCTCCTCCACTATACAAAGGTACAAGAGCAAAATGAAAGCCAATGTACTAGTCCAGCCTGTAATACTTACTAATGCAGCCCTAACAACTAACTCTAAAACTCAAAACAAGGGATATAATCACTTCTACAAACAAACAATTGAAAGGCTACTTCCCCGGGTAGATCCTTACCTGTAAAATATTAGTGAAAAAGTCATGGTAGAACATGGGCCAATCTTGGCGTCCAATATCAACAATAACTTTGCAGAGTTTGTTCCGGATAAAGTAAGGTAAGGTTTTATGGTGAGCCAACAGAAGTTTGGGCAAGCAACTACGGATTTCCATCTTATCCTGAGATGGGACCCCAAGCCACATTTTATTGATCAGATTCTGAAAAACAAACATATATCCTTTAATGAACTGTACACAAAACAACTGGTTTTTATTCTATACTTGGCTATAACAAGTCACATACACACATATCCCTCTAACAGTTTAGGGCATTTAACAAAAGAGAAATACAAATATTAAAATAATGCCATCTCTAGGAAGATCTACTAAGTAATTTAAGATGTAAAAAGTTATATGTACAAAAACTTGCTGTTACATCATTGTCTCCAACATGTCTTACTGGGCAATTGGCCACAAAATAGTGACAAAAACAACTGTGATGTCTTAATATAAGTGAAGAAGTCAATATGACAGCACACACCTATAATCCAATCGTCTGGGAAACTGAGACAGGAGGATAGAGAGTTTGAAGCCAGCCTGAGGTATATAGCCAAGATACTACTCTAAACTATAAAAAAGTAACGAAGTCACTTCTGTGAACATTAACAGAAAGGAAAGTGGGAAAGAGTTTGTTGTGAGCATGCACAGAAGTCAAAGCTTAGGTAAGAGTTAGCATAAATATATCTGTGGTTGGAAGATGATAGGAGGACAACCATTCTCCTTACAAAATATTTAGATATCTTTGTCTTTCAAATGATAAAAGGAAAAGAAGTAAGTCACCAAACATGACCTAACAGTACCAGAAAGCCAACCACCTACCCAATCATTTTTGGAGTCGTGGACAGAAAGTTGTTGTAGGCAACTAGACAGGGGTGCCAATATGGGTGGGTCAAGCTACTGTACACAGTCATCTGCACATTAAAGGGAAAGTCTGGTGCTCATGGTCTACAATTTCACTATGGTTTTCAGGACTACGAAATGATCCAACAACTTACCTCAAAAACCGTTAAGCTGTACATCATAACATAGTCATTCCTTGTGCTGGACAGAAAATATAAGCAGAATCTCCAGGCTCCTACTTGCTGGGCAAAGTTATTAAGAAGCTCCTCTGGAAAAGTTAAATAGTAACAAAACAAGCATAAAAATACATTAATACAAGACCAGGCCACCATCATTTAGAAAACACATCTAATACTCCATATAATGCAAATGGTGCAAAAAAAATAAGCACAAAACTGGGCAGTGGTAGCACACACCTTTAATCCCAGCACTCAGGAGGCAGAGGCAGGTGGATTTCTGTGAGTTTGAGGCCAGCCTGGTCTACAGAGTAAATTCCAGGACAGCCAGAGCTGATACACAAAGAAATCCTGTCTCAAAAACCAGTAAGAAAAAAAGCACAAAACCCAGATGAAGGGATTACACAGTCAGTACTCTTAGCTCTAGGGGAACCATCAACACAGGCAGTACACCCTGACATCTCAAGGCCACCGACTCTCCTAAAGATACCTTTTGAGGGCAAAGACCTATTGCTCAAGCTCTTATTTAAGCTATATGTGGAAGAACAATCCTTTCCAAAATGTAAATGATACCAACTAGTCCCTGCAAGCATAAGCCATACACACCACCATGTTGTTCTACCGGTCTTCAGTGACATCCACACTGTTTGCACTCATATGGCATGAAGGCTAGAGAATCAGGAAGAGAAAACTAACATTCCCAGCAGCCATATAGTGGCTTCTCCAGTTCCAGGGATTCCAGGGAACTGGACACCTTCCTCTGGCCTCTATAGGCACCAGGCACAAAAGTGTAAACAGACACACATGAAAACAAAACACCCATACACGTAAAATAAAAAAGAATAAATCAAATATATCTTTTAAAATAATAATAATATAAAATAACAGTAAGATTTAAAAATAATAAGACATAGCCAGGCGGTGGTGGAACACACCTTTAATCCAAACACTCAGGAGGCAGAGGCAGGCCTAATCTACAAAGCAATTCTAGGACAGCCAGAGCTGTTACACAGAGAAACCCTGTCTGGGGGTGGGGGGTGGGGGGGTGGAGTTAAGATGACAATGACAGTGGTGCTGGTGGTGGTGGCAGCAGCAGCGGCAGCAGCACAACTACATAAATAAGTAAAAACCAAAAGTAAGAACCCCAAGAGTTCCCAGAGCAGCTCTGACTATAGATCCAGTCAATTAAAAATGGTTCTTCTCCTCTCAGACCACTGACAGCATAAGCAAAAAGTCACAATTAGCAAGCATTAATTGCCTAACTACCCACCATCACCTGTGAGCACAATGCTTGTTAACCACCTTGTTAACCAGTGAGCCTGGCCTGTGCAAGGTCACCGTGAAAACAGTGCAGCTCACTGCCCTGCCTGCCTTGAACCCTGACTAATACATTCTACAGAAGGAGAGCTACAGAAACGGTTCAGCACTGACTGCTCTTGGAGAAGACCTGGGTTCAAGCCCCAGCACCCACACAGCAGCTCATACATTTCTAGAAACTCCAGTTCCAGGGGATCCCACACTCACTTCTAACTTCCTCCATGCACATTGTACACAGACATATGTGCAGGCAAAACACTCATATATATGTAAAATAAAAGTAATCTTCTTAAGTCTTGAAAATTCTGTGAAAAATAGCATGTCCTGATAATTAAAAACAAGTTTTTATGTAACCCAGAGACACAAGCAAACCAGAGAATGTGAGTTACAGCTGAAATTGACATGCTGGGTTCAAGTCAGCTGATCCCCAAGCCTGGCCCCAGCAAGCCACTGTTGTACATACTGCTCCCATTCCTCCCCTGTTAAAACACCGCTGGCCTCATGCCTCTCCACTACCTTTCAAGCACTTATCTGGCAGGCAGGTGGGTAAAAGGGCCTTATAATGACACAGCCTCCTTCCATTCCCTTACCTCAATAGGCAAAGCCTGTAGTTTCTTCCAAGACAACAGAAAAAAAGCAAAAAGGAGTTCCAGCCACACACTCAGATTAAGTCACAAAGACCAGGTACAAAGAGAAGGGAAAAACCTGCCAACTGGTACAGAACAGTTCCAATTAGCCAACATTTCACCTGAACGTCTGTAGTATGTGTTGTTTTATAGACTCTCTTCCACTGAGTTATACCCCCGGTCTGCATAAAATGAGTATCTTATACAAGGTTCCACTTTCAACCTATGAATGCACAAACGTGAGCAACATTTTATGAACAAATCAAAAATCAAAGAAAAATCAAAGGCATTTGTTTCTATTGCAGTGACAAGAGTGTAAAGAAATCAGAGTGGAAGATTATAGCAGACTAACATAGAAGAAGATGTACCTTTTTGGTAAAAATTATTATTATTAAATTATTATTTTTCACTGTAAGTATAAGGTAGACTAGTACCATAAAACTAACAGTCTATTATTTTTCACTGTAAGTATAAGGTAGACTAGTACCATAAAACTAACAGGGAGAGCACACTGGGTCAGGAAGATAATCAGTATAGAGGCCCAGAGTAGCAAGCAAGGTAGACACTGCTCATCTCCTGGACTTGGCACCACCAGTGGTCCTATGTCTATTTTACTTCTCTACAATGTACTCTCTCAGAAAAGAAAGGTATGCAGGATGCAGGCTCCCAGGAGTACCAGTTATCAGATGGCATGATGCTTCAAGGAAGCTAGTAAAAACAGGCTATAGCCAAAGATGTCCTAGTCTTTGAGATGAAAAGTCTCAAAGTCTCAACCCCAAGCAGACTTTGGGTGGTACTCAAGACTGGATCAGAAGGTTTAACTGGCTAACATGACTCAAGCCAATGGAGATGGAGACAGAAATGGGCCTTTAGGGTTCTGAGTCAAAGAGAGACCTTAAGGAAAGGGAAGCAACAAGTATGGTTATAGAATAACACACACACTCACACACAGGCACACGTATATGTGTGGGTACACTCACGCATGTGAAAGCACCTTTCATTCAAATTCAGGGCTAAGAGAGGACCCAAATGGGAACAGACTACTTGAGGCAGGATGTGACACTTGAATAAATTACCTTCTTTCTAGTATGTTTGATTAACATAATTGTGCCGATGAACATAAAAGTCAAACATGGGTTCTCAAACATGCTGAGACCCGAGACAGCGAGTGATTACACCTACATGTTCTCTCTGTTCTTTATTCATGGAAAGGGTAACAGAGATGAAAAGGAAGAAAAGGCTAGGAAGTCTCCAGAGGCAGACCAGACCAGGTAAGGGATCCAAAAGACCACTGTCTCAGGTGTTCATTCTGTTACTTGCATAGGTTGTTCTTGTTTTGAAATTAATGGTTGTGGGCTTCTTTCAACAACACTGCTGAGATTAGACAGGACAGAGGCTTTTCCACTTGATAGAAAGGAAAGAAAACCAATCACTTATGCTCTCATAGCTAGCTCTGCAGGTCCCTCCTGCCACCAACCAGCAGAGCCAGAACAAAGCCAAGAATTCAAGGAACACATACAAGTTTGACCAACCAACAGTATTGATTCCTTCTTCCCCAAATTTCACTTACCTATCTCTCGTTTTCTCTCATTGGTTGTACACTCATGGAAAAATTCTGTCATCAGACTTTCCAGTGCCCTGAGGGAGGCTTCTTCAGATGCCTGACAAAGGAATTTGAGAAAACATCAATAAATAGCTCTGCTTCTCAGTTCCTTCCAGGTGCCATCCACAACAAAGGAAATTTACTTCCCAAAACACCTTGGTTCAACATTCTTCAAATGCACAATGCAAGCCAGAAAAACAAGAGAATTTTCCATCTTGCTTAAAACCCAGTTTTAGTTATCTACTACAAATGCATGCCATGTAATTTAATTATTTATGTTAAGGAGAAGAAAAACAATTCAAAATGCAATAGTAGAAAGATGCTGAAAGAAAATTATCAGTCCTGGCACTGCTTAGTAGGCAGAGCAAACAGATTGTGGGCAGTTTAGAGACCCTCCATACACAATCTGGACACCCCTTGCCTAATTAATTAGCCAGATGTTAATACTGAGACACACAAGCCACTCGGACTCATGGGGTCTGAAAAAGCTTCAGGAGTCCTGCACACAATCAACTTTCAATCTCACATGAGCAGCCAACAGAGAGGAATGTGAAGCTGAGAACAAAGCTTGGCAGCACTCTAGTTCAACCTCCATCAATCAGCAAAGAACAGACTGAGAGATGCCACCCCCAAGGTAAGAGTAAGGCCCCATGAGCTAGGCGATGGTGACACACACCTTTAATCCCAGCACTGGGGAAGCAGAGGTAGGTGGATCTCCGTTTCGAGGCCAGCCTGAGCTACATGGAGAAATCATGTCTGAAAAAGAGAGAGGAGAGAAACAGAGACAGACGGATGGAGAGAGATGGAGGGAGAGAGGAAGTCCCTGAGTACTGACAGGTTCCTTCTTACACATGGATCTCCTAACTCCACTTCCTTTTCACCAGGCAGGAAAGCAGTGGCTGCAGGAATGAGCTTGCATCTAAACCCACACAAAGCCAGTGGCACATGCCTGTGGTCTCAGCACTTGGGAAGCTGAGGCAAGAAAATGACAAGGTCTAGGCCAACCCTGACTTCACACCCAGGCTCATAAAAAGTTTCAAGTAATAGCAGTAACAAAAACCACACCCCATACAGCCTGTGATTAAAAAGGTGCATGTCTGCAGACCATGTCTAAACCATCATTGGCATTATCTACCTGGAAACTCCTGTTATTTTAGTTAGTTCTTAATTCCTTTCTTACTTGCCTCCCTTCCCCAAATCTCCTCCTTTACTCCCAGAGCATTTTAAGACAACAGGCTCACATTTAAACATGTTTTGTGTTTAACTGTGATTGCCTCCAGGCAATCATTTACTCCTATGGAGACGAAGGAACTTCAACCATCTCCCTTAACAAGCCAATTTACAAGTCCAGCACCATGCACACCACTAACACTGGCCATGCACGGGCAGTGCCAGGCATGGATGTACCTCCCATACTGCTGGGACAGTAGGCTGGTTGTGAGATGACAAATGAACTGGCCTGCTGAGTGATGAATTCTTCCAAGTCCAATAGTATTAGCACTGTAATTCAAAGAAACATTCTTGTCTGAATTTTATAGCTTGCAAGCCAACCTGCTCTATAAAAATAAAGTCATCCTCAATTATAAAGTTTGAAACCAGTCGGCGGCTGAAGAGATGGCTCAATGGGTAAAAGCACATACATCTCATGCAGAGGACCCAAGTTAAGTTCCCAGCACCCACTCACAACTACCCTTAACTACAGTGACCTGGGTATCTGACACCTATACATGCTGCATACACACACACACACACACACACACACACAGGACATGGTGGCATATGCCTATAATTCCAGCAGCCAGGGAGATGAAGGCAAAAGGAAATCCAAAGTCATCCTCAATTATAAAGTTTGAAACCAGTCGGGGGCTGAAGAGATGGCTCAATGGGTAAAAGCACATACGTCTCATGCAGAGGACCCAAGTTAAGTTCCCAGCACCCACTCACAACTACCCTTAACTACAGTGACCTGGGTATCTGACACCTATACATGCTGCATACACACACACACACACACACACACACACACTACGAGATTGTCTCAAAACAATACAAAAATTAAAGTAATAAAAACAAAACAATAAATAAAAAGTAAAAGAGGGCTAGGGCTAAACTTGGTGACATATACCTTTAATCCCAGTAGTCAGGAGGCTGAGAGGCTGAGGCAGGCCAATCTGAGGCAAGCCTGGTCTACACAGAGAGTTCCAAGACAGCCAGGCTAATCATGCACAAGGTATGGGGGGGGCTAGGGGATAAAGCTCAACATGGCAAAAGCATACAATTTAAAGTCTGTAGGAAAAATAAAGAAATTAGAAAGCATTAAAGTGACTCAATACTCAAAAAATGTGTGTGTGCGTGCGCGCGCATGTGCATAAGACATGAATGCAGAAAAGGGGACCGTGAGAAGGGAAGGTGAGGGAAGAAGGGAAGAAGAGGAATCAAGTGGGTCCTGGAGAAACTCCTGATATCACTACCTCCAAAGCCCCCAAGCACAGCACATACATAGCCACCGCTAGTATCTAAAGCAAATGATCGCTGGTGGCCTCTCCCAAGAATCTACTGGTCTCCACCGCCAATCTATCTACCCAGCACACTCCACCCCAACCCAAGGAGTTAAAGTGCAAACCAAGAAGCTCCATCAACTACAAAAACCAATGGATATGTGGCAATTCCCAGAGATAATGCTAGAACCAGCTGAGAGCATCACCAAGCACTTTCCAATAAACATAAATACCAGACTATTTACATTCTGATCACTTCAATAATTCCAACACTCATGTTGGAATGTTTCATAGAATACTGCAAGTATCAAATAAGGTGACCTATGTTCAAGCACTAGTTAAACTAAGATGAATTATCTACCTAGCAAGGATGGCTACTCTGATATTTACTTGGTCTTAGGTACCAAATAAAAACAGGCAGGAACATTGAAAACAAAAGTAGTCAGACCTCCTTTGAAACTGTACTCACGCATACATGCCTTCAGCTTCTCTGACAAGATCTCAACTGTGTTCCTTTACAGTGAATAAAAAAGGATGCCAGGTGTTGGTGGCGCACGCCTTTAATCCCAGCACTCAGGAGGCAGAGGCAGGTGGTCTCCAGAGTGAGTGCCAGTATAGGCTCCAAAGCTACACAGAGAAACCCTGTCTCGAAAAACCAAAAAAAAAAAAAAAAAAAAAAAAAAAAAAAAAAAAAAAAAAGGAGTCCCAGGCTTCACCTGAGTAAACATTCAGAACAGGAGTAGAAGACAAACAGGATTATATTCAGACCTGCAAGTGGTTTAAGGGTACTGCAGATCCCCAAGCCCTTTAGCAGGAAGGCCACTGGAATTTTGCCAGCCGTTTCAAGAAAGTGGCAGAAACAGATCCAGACTGAGGGTTAAAGACCTAACAGCAGTGGAGGCTAGCATACACATACCATACAGCACTATACTTTCAAGTGATGAGAGACAAAGAACATACAAGTTCAGAAGATCAATCTGCTAGCTTCGAAGAGAGAAAGAGAGAGACAGAGAGAGATGACAAACCTGACTTGCTCATCAGATAGCACAAGAAAGCTGAAAATGGGAGAAGACATTTGTATGGTAATTGACAGAATTCACGGGGTATAAAGTAACTTAACAAAGAAAAGACAAGGGTCTTTGGACTTACAAAAGAAAGCCATAAATGAGTACTCACCTCCTCAGAGAAATACAGTTTTAAAATGGAAGAGGCTGCCACACAACCCCAGAATAGCTAAGTCAGAAAGACTCAGCAGTTAGGAATATTGGCCGTTCAGTTCCAGCACCCACATGGCAGCTCACAACCATCTGTAACTCCAGACTCAGGAGATCCAATGCCTTCTTCTGACCCTTTCAGGCACCAGGCATGCACAAGGTTCACAGACATGCATGCAGGCAAAACACCCATATACAGAAAAGTTAAATTGACAGTACAATGTGTTGGCTAAGTAACTTAGATGTGCAGATACTGCCGGCAGGAACATAGACAGGTGTCACCATTTGAGAAAGCTTTGTGTCTTATGACTGCAATTAACCAACAGAATACTGTGATTGTACACCAAATAAAATGCATATATATAGCCACAAATAAAATGTACAAACATAGTCACAGAGCCATTACACAAAATAAGAAAACTCAAATGTCTATCATCAATGGAATGAGTTTCACTTTGTTTATTCGAGAGAATATTGTAATACAACATCAATGAATGAATCTTGTAGCAACAGCAAAGCATCTCATAAACACAACAAATGAAAGATGTCAAAACACACCCTTTCATTAGGTAGGTACTTATACACACACACACACACACACACACACACACACACACACACACACTACCCCACCTCCAGGCAGGATTTCTCTGTGTGTCCTTGGCTGACTCAGAGATCCACCTGCCTCTGCTTCCCAAGTGCTGGGACTAAAAATGATTTATATTTTAATATAAAATATGCTGGGACCACTATTTACTAATTTACATTAAATTTTTTTAAACAAACAAAACTAAGTTATGCTGTATAGTCAGAATAGTGGTTACTTTTCGGAAGAGGGATTACCTTAGAACTCCAAGAATATTCTATGCTTAGTTTGAGTGTTTCACACTGTGACAGCTATTATTACTTGTCTCTAAGGACATGTACTGTACACTGTACTTTGAGCTTTCAAACTGCATCTTCAAGTTTAGACCATTGGTTTTTGTTGTTGTTGTTGTTTGTTGTTGTTGTTTTGTTTTTTTGAGACAGGGTTTCTCTGTATAGCTTTGGAGCCTGTCCTGGCACTCTCTCTGTAGACCAGGCTGGCCTCCCGAGAGCTGGGATTAAAGAGAGAGCTGGGATTAAAGACCACTCATCGACCATGAGTTAAATTGTATTTTCATAGATTAGCAGCCTCAGTGTGAGCCACTCTGATTGGGAGGTACACTGCTGCCTATGTGTTCAAGCAGCCACCACAGCAAATGGGATGATGAATTATGGCTCCTTAGAATTTTCTAGGAGAGCTATCCGTACATCTAAGACAAACTACATTCTCTGCTGCAGATTGTTGTCGTGTACAAAGCTGCCTGCCTGGATTTCCGCCACTGTCAATTTCTGTTGCTGGATGAGCAGTTCAGAGACCTGTGCTCACTTTATTAAGGAACCACGAAGCCAGCCAAGGCTCAGAATCACCTCATCATAAAGACTTGAAAGGACGAGAAAGGTCACAGAATTTGATGTTTTCTTTGATTCTTCTCCCTATTTTCTACGGCTCCTGCAGATTCATTTCATACTACCTTTTGACTCTGTGATGACTGCCCTCACCACAATTTCTACCACTCTCTATTTTACTGCCTGTAAAATTAGCTTCTTTTATAGCTGGTCACCTTGATACCAACTTCCCCAATCTGTTCTTCATAGTCAAATAAATTCCCCTCAAGGCAGACTTCTCAACCCCAGTTTGTTTAAACCTAGCTTTAGAGAGCCTTTAAATCTAGGCTGACCTGAGAAACTAAGTTGTTTGGTGAATGAACTTGATATTCCTGAGATGTAAAGATGAGTAAGTTCCTGACTTGAAAGACTCAGAAGTAGCCCGAGGGTGGAGAGAGGAGAGCTAAGAATGAAAACATAGAGTCTGATGGTGACCATCCTTCCGGGGCCACATATGAGTAGTCTCAGTGCCCAGAGCCAGGGATCTTGTGCACAGGTCCTGGGGAAGGCAGAGACATCTGCAGGGATGAAGGGAAGGAGTTGGAAGCTCTCTAGTCCCCAAGGCTCCCCCGTTACGATAAATCTTTCTGCCATAAGCCTCCGAGCTCCACCGAAACTGTGTACTCTTTCTCCAGCCGCCTGCCCGCCCGCCCGAGTTAGGGCCCCAATTAATGCACAGAGAGACTTGCATTAGGTACAAATGCTGCTTGGCCAATGACTAGGATTCTCATCTGTTAGCTCAGTCTCAATTATCATAAATCTATATATAAGACTTATCTTATCGGACTCTTTATTGGCGAGTCCCTCCTTGCCAGTGGCTCACATCCCACTGCTGAAGGAGGCGAAGAGGAAAGGGGCACACTTCCTCTTTCTCCTTGCTTAAATGAGTCTCCTTGCTATGTCACTTCCTGCCTGGATCACCACTTCTCTACATTTCCCAGAATCCTCTTTGACTCCTAGTCCTGTCTAACTTGCTGTTTCATTAGCCAAACAGAACTTTATTCAACAATCAATAAGATAAACATACACAGTACCATCAACCCCCAGAAAAAAAAAATGATGGTATTTGAATATTCATGGAGACTTCCGTCCTGACTTGCTTTGGGAGAGAATTTACAGCTCAGCCTTCATTAAATTTCTCACAAATATTATAGGCTGGACCCCTCTGTTTCCCTTTTTACATATTTTGTCTTTGACAGAGTAAGAATGGTATATAGAAAGGAGAAAGGTAAAAGCCCAGAGGCAAAAGGTAGACAGGATAATTTAAGAAAAACTGGAGAGACACATGTCAAGCTAACACTGGGCATTCATAACAATAAAACTCCTTGTATTTATTTGGAAGCTGGGTGGCAGGCCCCCAAACAATGAAGACTTAAAAAAAAACAAAACTATATTTTGCCAGTCCAGTGTGAAGCTTGAATTTCACAGGGCCTGAGAAAGCACTCCTTTATTTAAGAAGTTCTGCCATACAGCAGAGCACTCAGTCTTTTTCACAAATAAGTAGAAACAAACAAACAAACAACAACAACAACAAAAAACTAGAAAATGCCTGCCACAGTGCAGAGCACTGGCATTCCAGAGCTGGGGGATTGAGAATAGTTCCTGGTCAAACGCACCTGCACCTCTGAACTTTAGGCTTGGCTCTCTGTACCCAAGAAGTGGGTGGAGCCAGCAGCCAAAGCCTTGACAAAGGTCCTAGCTGCACCATTTAGCAGTTTAAAGGCTCATGTGGTCAGAAAGGGATAGAGATATACAGTAAAGCAGGTTCAGATGGAAAAAAGACTCTCTAAATAGGTTCCAGTGTTTCACAATGTGTGTAGGCTTAAGAAAGAAAAGAGAAGGCATATACAATCATAGAAAGAAAGTTTATAATATAGTAAAAGTAATATAAAAGAAAAAAAGCCACATAATGTTGGAAAACACACAGGGTACCTGGATCCTATATGGTATTGTGTTGATTTTCAGGTTTTTGATTGCTGATAAGCAAACAACAGCTGCAAAGAGACAGAGGATTGAAAGAGGAACTACTGAAATAAACCAGTCTAGATATTTTAAGAGTGCATTAACTTTAAAATAGAACTCAAAGACGGCATTGCTTTGGAGAAGAGGTTTTGCTTTTATTTCCACAGGAAATGATGAGACTATGGATTCCTTCACGGTTGATATGGATCAGGGTTTATGGGGATGGGGGAGGGGCTTCCTGAATCTTGACAGGTGATATATATATAAACAAAGGTTACAGCTGGACTTCCCAGGACTTGGCCATTGGCTAAATTTTATCAGGAACCCCTAAAGATGCCTTTGCCCACAGACAACAAGAAGCAGTCTAGAGAACACAACATCCACATTCCCAAAGAGATGGGGTGGGTGGTTGTTAGTTATGTGGTAGGCTACGGATATTTGTTATCATTTAGGGGACTATAGGAATGTTGGATAAAAAGACAATTATTAATCTCAGACATTTTGCATTGGCATGGATTTTGGTATATTGGTACAAATTTAGAGTTATTTTGTTATACTGTATATGTGTTTCTACTCTAATCTGAGGTATCGAGCCTACGCAGCTCATTTAAAAATGCCATGTATAATTAAGAAATGAGGTTGGTAGTTAACCCACAATAATCAAACCTGTAGTCACATTAGGTATATTTTCAAGGTTAAACAGGTATATTTTAGACAAATAGATGATTTTCAAACACTTCAAAGACCTACAGAATATGGCATTTAAGACATTTAATAACCTAAGGTGTTCCTCAGGAGGCAGAGGCAGGTGGATCTCTGTGAGTTCGAGGCCAGCCTGGTCTACAGAGCGAGTTCCAGGACAGGCTCCAAAACAATACAGAGAAACCCTGTCTCGAAACCCCCCCCCCAAAAAAAAAAATTACCTAAGGTTTTTCATGAAAATGAAACATCTACTACTGACAGCACCAATTTACTTCTTTTATGATGGTCATCAAAGAAACTCCATATGGAGTTTGCTTTCATTGTGGCAAAGCTAGCCATTTGGGCAAAAAAACTGCTTTTGCTTTGACTGCTGACAGTATGCTGAACACACTGGACAAGTGGGACACAGGAAAGACTGATGAACTTTGTCAAGACAAGGCAGAATAATCCTTCAAGATTCCTGTTTCTTAGAAGAGTCTGCAAGATATTCTTCAGGACACAGAGGAAAGAGACTGATGAACTTTGCCCATACAAGGCAGGTCAGTCCTTCAAATTTCCTACTTCACAGAAAGTCTGCCAGATATTCTAGGTCTGTAGACCCGAAAATGTATGGCCCAACATTGCAGAGGAACTTTGGGTGACTATCTGAGGAGCCAGATGTCTCTGTTATTAGGTAATACTACATCCTTCTGAGGTCTTTGATGGAGTTAAAGACTAAATTAGGAATTATAGATTTCCTTAGTTATGGTAGAAAGTAAATTAAGTATAAAACTTTGGAATTACTAAGATAGATAATGAGTATTTTCTCTGAATTTGCTAAATACAAATGTACTGAATATTGTAAATGTAATTCTTACTTTAACTGATTTGTTGTATAGTTAGTTTTACTATGTCAAAGTTAAAACCTTTCATTTTTATTTACACAAAAAGGAGGAAATGTTATGGAATTATTAGTTAAAGATGTGTTATTTTTTTATGCTGTGGAGTATTTGTTTAATGATGCAAAGATATGTTGCATTCTTTTATGATGCATTTGTTTAAATCTGTGAATCTATGTTACTTTGCCTGCCTAAAACACCTGATTTGTCTAATAAAGAGCTGAATGACCAATAGCGAGGCAGGGCTGCCAGGCAGAGAATAAACAGAACGAGGGAGGACACCAGGGGCCAGCCACCCAACCAGAGTAAGAAGGAAGGGAAAGTATACAGAACAGGGAAGAGTAAAAGCCTAGAGACAAAAAGGTAGACGGATAATTTAAGAAAAGCTGTCTAGAAACAAGCCAAGCTAAGGCCAGGCATTCATAAGTAAGAATAAGTCTGTGTATTTATTTGGGAGCTGGGTGGTGGGCCCCCAAAGAGCAAAGAGTTTTTTAAAAAAATGCCTGAGGCCTGTGTTTTCTATAATACCCAACAGGACTGGAGTTCAAACAATTGGCAGATCAAATCCAAGTGAGTAAAAAGAATAAGACTGCTACTGTTGCTTCCAACTTTTCAGAATTACTGCTGAGACCCCCAAAGATGCACAAGTGATAGTAATTCCCCCCTAAAAAGCTCTAGGTATGACCTTTGCTCACAAACAACAAATCTTTTCTTTTTGAAAAATGTGTGAATAGTTTCTAAAAATCTCATTAACAAAGCCTAACAAAAGCACTGATGGTAGATAGTCTATATGGGCTTTTGTCCCTGCAACAGGGTCAATACATAAGTTTTCTCAAAACCTGACTAAATCTGTAACGTTTCACCTAATGGCCTCTAAATAACCATCTCAGGTTGGAAAGATGGTTCACTGTGTAAAATGCTAGCCCAAGCCTGTCTATCAGGGCTTGATCCCTGAAGCCCACATACTGCAAATAGCCCTCTGACTTCCACATGTGCACCATGGGGCAAACACCCACACATACACATGTTCACAAAATAAATAAATAATAAATGTGAGGAGAAATTAAAGCAATACTCTCTGCAACACAACTCTTGACTTTAAAAGAAGCCTTTCAGACAGACATTGGCATGGCAAGTTTAGGCCCCAGCACCTGAGACAAAAAGACAGCAAGGGCTCTGAAGAAAGCAAATCAAGCCCCATGCCATAGTAGTAATGGAGAAATAAATAAATAAATAAATAAATAAATAAATAAATAAATAAATAATAAAAGAAGCCTTTATCAAATTTTTGTCAGACCCTAAATTGACTTGTGAGTCCTACCTGCCCAAGGACCAGGTAACTTCCTGAGATTCTGGGAGTTGTAGTTCTTGGAGGAAAAAAAAACCAAAAAACAAAACAAAAGCTTCATGGGAAAGTACGGTAGCCTTGAGTTTTGTCCATATAAGTCCCAATAACATGTATCTCGGGCTACTCAGGGGTAAGTTTCCAGGAATGATCCTGATCAAATTCCATCTTGGTCAGTATATAAAGTTTTGGTAAAAGCTTGCTTTAATTCAGCCATAACAATGGAACTGATTTTTCTCTGGCAATTAACACGGTTTCCTTTCCTAAGAGCTACCTTGTGCAGCCAGCCCACTAGGAGGTGGACCACAGACATTCTTCCTATAGGCTCACAGCCTCACTGATAATTGATACTGCCTCCACACTACTTGCCAACCAAGGTTCAAAAGTATACAGAATAAGCAAGGACATTCAATCTCAAGTAAACTTTCAAAGATAACACCATCACCACAGATGTCTCCACTCTCAAATAAACACTCCTTCCTTACACTTTCACCACGGAAAATAAGCAGGCAAGAAAAAGGTGTCTTTGGGGCTGGAGAGATGGCTCAGCCGTTAAAGGCTAGGCTCACAACCAAAAATATAAGAAAAAGGTGTCTTTGACTGTATATGCCTGAGCATAAGCTAAGATCCAACACACATGGCAATCAATGTGAGAGAGTCCCTTCCCCACACTAGCACTACAGTGTCACCAGGCTCAAAAAGCTAGAAAGTAGCAAAGAGCAGGAAGGAAGCTCTAGTCCCAAGAGACACACCCTCCAAACTCCCCCTCCGTTCAGGCCTAGCTGCTCCTCTGTCAGCAAGGCACTTCCATTTCTAAAACCAAACTGAACACATCTTGTTGAACTAGAAATCTCATTTTGTTTCTTTCTAATTAAGCCAAGGAAACCAGCCGATCTGGCAGTCAGAAGAGCTCTCATTCACACTCAGACTCTGAAGGACTCACTCAAAAGCCTTCTGCTGAGGAATAGCCAGCACTCTAGGTAGATTCTTGCCAGTCTTAGAAGAGTATGGTGTAAACACTGACTGACAATTTAACAATCTAGAGTTACCACAGAAATAAGCCTCTGGACACGACTGTAACAAGTCTTTCTCTGTCCTGCCAGCCAGGAACAAAATAATGACACAGAGACTTAATTATGACTTAATTAATTATGAAAGGTCAGTTTATAGCTTAGGCTTGTTCCTAACTAGCGTGGCACTTAAATTAGCCCATTTATATTAAACTATGTTCTGTCATGTGGCCTATCCTCTCTTCCATCTCGCACTCCTACTTGCTCTCTGTGCTCCTGGCATCTCCCACAACCTAGATTCCTCCTCCTCTTCCTTTCTCTCCCAAAAGCCCCACCAATACCTCCTGCCTAGCTATTGGCCATTCTGCTTTTCATTACACCAATCACAGCAATACATCTTCACACAGTGTACAAATATCCCACAACACATGGTTGTGAAGGATTATCTAGAAGAGGTTGAGGTTGGAAGACCCACCTCAGATATGAGCGGACCATTCCATGGGCTGGGGTCCCAGTCTAAAAAGCAGAAAGCCAGCAAAGCACTAGCAATTATCTCTCTCTGCTTCCTGACTGCAGACTTGACAGGACCAGCTGGCTCCTCAAGCTCCTGCCACCATGTCTTCCCCACAATAATGGATTGTAACCTCAGTGAGCCAAAATAAATGGGTTTTGTCGGGTCAGGATCATAGCAACAAGAGTAGCTGCAAGGATAAGGGAGGGGTAGAACAGACAATGTAAAACAGCCACAAGTGCCACAAAAGCAGAGAACCAATAATACCTCAACAGTTAAAGAGACATGCAGCCAGGACAAAGGCTTGCACACCACACTATGCACATCACCTGGAACCAAAGAGCAAAGTGACCCATCTGCCTCAGAAGGCTGCTTGTCTGCCTACAGTTCAAAGCTCAACTGTGTGGTGATATATTCTTTATGAGCTAATATAGCTTACCTGAAGATCAAGAGTGCAAAGCTAGCCACAGCCATAGAGGCCAGGCAGTGGTGGTACACACCTTTAATCCCAGCAGCCACACTAGTTAGCCACAGAGGCTAGGCAGTGGTGGTGCATGCCTTTAATGTCAGGAGTAGAGAGATATATAAGACAGGAGCTCAGAGTCTCATGCAGCATTCAACCTCCAGGCACACTGAGGGCAGGATCGCCCCAGCTTTGGTAGAGGTTAAGAACTCTCTAGCGGTTGACAGATTTGCTCTTCTGATCTTCAGCTTGAACCCCAATATCTGTCTCTGGGTTTTTA